ATTTATACCACTGACCCTAATAGTGCCTGTAGAGGAGTATTCCGTACTAAATTACCACTCCCACTACCCGCGGAGTAGTCCTCTCAAGGTTTACGATTGGCGATAACTCCAATGGCAATAGTCAAAATTGCCGAGAACCGGCGCTTTGCCCCTCACCCCACAGAGGCGATATTAATGGCAAATGTATGCACTGAAATCAATTAAGGCTCTTCTTGTAGAGTGGTGAAGGTTTCCCAGTAGTATCGAGAATTAGATGGAGTACGTAGTCCGGCGGCTCCAAGTGTTCACACCAACCTGTTTTGAGTTAATCGCTCCGGCTGTGCGTTGTCTGCGCCAGTGTGTCCATCACCCATAGAAAATATTGTCAATCTGCTCGTCAAGGACCAAGGCTGCTATCATTTTCGGGCCACTGGCAGACTGACTCGGCATCCCGATTTGATGCGGTCTGGAGAACTTTCATCCTGAAGTCTACACTACCTTATTGACGTATGTGATACATTCAAGCAATCATCACTCGCCTTTTGTCAACAAGTGAAATTGCCGAATTTTGACAGGCTCAAAGTATGAAAACAAAGCCATCAGCTTCTACGGACGCTAAGTTGAGGGCACGATTCCCCGTGGTTTCTGCCTGCGACTCGAGTGGGGAGAAGAGGAGGGGAAAAAAAGGGGGGGGGAAGGAATCACCAGCGCATGATATTGTCTTCTGCAAGCTTTGCAACAAACCGTGGGTGGTGACTCTGTGAGATACCATGAAAGAAGACCTGTTTCGGCAAAGAACTTACCCGGAGTAGGATTGAGGCACGGTGAATCTGACAAATGGCACCAAGGGAATTAATTGTGAGTGAGAGTGAGAAGTAGTAGTTAGTGAGTGAGCCAGAGATGCTCTGCTATAAACCGTCCATCGATCGCCCTGTCTTCGCACACCCTACGAATCGCAGCCCCGCTTTTTGGGTCAAGTCTTGATATGGCTACTTAGTATCCTTCGCAGCAGCATGCCCGCGGCTCCCGCTGACCGCCCTCGTCTTACCGCACTCCGCTGTCGCAAGACCATTCTTCCCACCCCGCCATTTTCCCCAGGATAGCTTCTCCGCCGCCGCCGCCGCCGCCGCCGCTGCTACTGCTCAACTATCAATTGCCCTCCGCTCCTCCGCATCATGGCTTGCCTGGAAATGACTTGCAACACCCGCTAAACCTTTCTCATCTGGCACTTGCTTAGCTATTTACTGATCGTACAGCCGGTCGATTCCCGCCCTACGGATCGTTCCTTTGCACTGGAACCTTTGGGACGGGCTATCTCCCGTGCACCTGTTCGAGATTGTGCTGCTCATCCTAGAATCAACCTTTCACCAAACGCTATGCATAAGCAACCACCAGTCGACAAGCGTCGAAAGTTTGACCCGGATGCCTCCTTAGTATTAGTGGGAATCCGGGGTTGCGGCAAAAGGTCTCTGGGGTTTGTCGCTGCTACTGCATTAAAACGACGATTCATTACAGAGGATCACTACTTCAAGGAACGTACGGGCTACACGAGACATGACTATCTCAAGCGCTATGGGAGCCAAGAGTTCCAGAGGCGCGATATCGAAGTCCTCAAGTCCATGCTAGACAATCACCGCTCTCGGTGCGTGATTGAGTGTGGGCTGGGAACTTTGACTCGTCCCGTGCAAGAGCATCTCCGTCAGTACTCGGCCACCAATCCAATCGTGTACATAATCCGTGATATGGATCGCATACAGAGTCTATTAGGCTTAGAGGATCAAGCAGTCAAGCTCATCGGCGAGGGAGATCCTCTGCATCGAACGTGCTCCAATTTTGAATTCTACAATATTGAAGACCGCTCCAGCTTAGCTGCCCAAACGGATGAAGGGACCCCCGATCGGCGCTGTGTCGACTATTCTTTCAAATTGAAAGAAGCCAAAGAAGATTTCACGCGTTTTGTCCGGTTCGTAACAGGCACAGATGTGGGCCACACCAGCTATGACTCGCCTTTTGTCCTTCTTGAGACGCCGCCAGAACTACGGTCCTATACGCATGCCATATTTGTGCGTTCTTCCGACCTTCTAGAGGGCACGGTGAAGATACCTGAGTTGGAATCGGGCGGGGATGCCATTGAGCTTTGCGTTGACCGCTGGGGTATGGATATGGCAGCAACAATGAGCAAGCATGTCTCTTTGCTTCGGAGGAGCGCTCGCACTCCGATCATAATAACCATCGATACTTCTTCGGCGGGCATTGCTCAAGGCAATTCCTCTGCGTCACAAGTCAGCAATGCGTATTTTGCCATCGTGGAGCATGGCCTGCGGTTGGGAGTCGAGTACTTGGCGCTCGACCTTAACCAGGATCGGTCTCAAATCAACGAAGCGATCCGCACTAGGGGAGGGACCAAGATCATAGGCCAACGCATATTTGAGGCGTCCGCTCCGGAAAGCTGGGAGAGTCAAGCATGTTTTGATCTCTACCTTGAAGCCGAAAAGCTTGGTTGTCAGCTGGTCCGCTTTCTTCGCGTCATTACGGCGCGGGAGGAGAATGTGGCCGTTGTGAAGTTCACAAACAAGGTTCAGGCTTTGCCTGGAGAACACCCACCAGTCATTGCCTACAACGTGGGCAGTCTTGGACGGACCTCCCAAGTGTTCAACTCCATTCTTACCCCCGTCACGCATCCCGCAATCGAGCGCTCCTCAGACAATGGACGCGACCCTCAGATCACTTCTCGGGATGCTGTCCAAGCACTGTTCCAGAGCTATGTTCTTGACCCCCTCAAATTTTGCATTCTGGGTGGCAATGTAGCCTATAGTCTTTCTCCCGCAATGCACAATGCTGCATTTAGACAATGCGGTATGAACCACACCTATACGATACCCGATTCTCCCTCCCTTGCAATACTGGATCGGCTGGGTCGCGATCCGCATTTCGGAGGGGCGAGTGTGGTTCAGCCCTGGAGAGTACATTTATCTCACAAGCTCGTGGCGAAGAGTCGCCACGTCGAGGCAATTGGCGCCATCAACACAATCATGCCATTACGGGCCAGCGCTGATGGCGCCATGTATTCCCTGCAAGAGCAAGCGAGTCGACGTAACCAGGCCGGGCCTGTGGTGGGGTGGTACGGAGAGAATACTGATTGGGTAGGTATTATGACCTGTATCAACCGCAACCTCTCCCCACGCAATGCAATCAGTCCCTTGAGATCAACAGGACTGGTCATTGGAGCGGGTGGCATGGCTCGCGCGGCAGTATATGCCATGCTTCGCCTGGGATGCCGGAAAATCTTTATATACAATCGGACATTGGCACGGGCTGAGAGTGTGGCTCGACACTTCAATTCTTGGGCAGCTTCTCAAGTGGATGCGACAGAAGTAGTATACGTGCTGAAATCACTCAAAGATGAATGGCCGGCCGATGCTTGCCCTCCCTGTATGATTGCATCCTGTGTGCCAGCAGATCCTGACAGAGACGAGCCGCCCGCCAACTTCGAAATGCCGATGCAGTGGTTGGGCAGCCCGACCGGAGGTGTGGTTCTTGAGGTACGTTTCATGGAGGAATCTCAAGCAGTTGGGCGTCGCTAATCTATTGAACCTAGTTCGCTTACAAACCACTGGATACGCCACTGCTACGCCAAATGCGTAGCATTCGAAGCGAGACGGGCCGGCCGTGGGTCTTGGTAGATGGACTTGACAATGTAGTCGAACAAGCAATCTCGCAAATTGAGCTGATGACGGGACGCAAGGCGCCCCGGCGCTTGATGTTCTCGGAAGCACTTCGCAACTATGTCGGCGAAGACGGGCCTTTTGATGAAAAGACGATTCAGACCCGACTTGAGCAGGTTCGTTGATCGGCCCGGGCATCTCGCCGGTGCGCCGCCGCCGCAGCAGCAGCAGCAGAATGACACATTGTACATATATTCCTGGATCAACATGCAAGTCTGAATAGTGATAGCCGACAGCAAGCAACATTGGTCCTACCGTATGCTGGAAGATTTGGTAGTGCCTTCTCCACAATTCATCCCCACCACGGATAGCTTCTTTTCTCATCCCGTTTTTCCACTCTCCACAATGGCTAGATATCTAGGTCAACCACGACACAAATGTACAATGATCGGGGAACAAGCATAGTGGGGTTCTCAAGCCGCTCCTTCGCTAGCTCATAGAACCAACTGTGCTACGTAATCAGCTCCTTGGTCAATGCCACTTGATTTACTACGCCGGCCATAACTGACTGGATCCGAACCATGTGCCTGGTCTGACAGGGATTAGTGGCACGGTGCAGAATGGCCATGGCATGATCATGCATGCAAGGTGTATGCAGGACGAAATCAGGGCATACCTACCTAATACATCTGCCTCTCACTCAACTCGAAGCCTTATCTACTTGGTCCCTAAACCATCATCCAGCCATTCATCCCGGCCCTTCAAAGAATGCCGATGCCCCAATACCGCATAAACGGTTACTGTCCAGATTTTCTGGGGGATGGTGGGATGGATGGTTGCGAGTATGCATCCACTGCAATCAGGAGGGAGTGGAAATGGACGATCAAAGCCACAAGCTCGGGAATGCATTGGATAGAGGGGCATGTTTGCTCGCATTCGCCCAAATCTGATAAAAGGCGGCACCAGTCAAAATTTTCATTTGTGGATGATCAATCATTGACTACTTGGCTGCACAGCATATATCGTCTCCAGTAATGGGAAGTCAAGGTCCCCACCTCATTGTGCCGGTGCAAACTATGTCAAAAGCAAAATGACACACAAAATAAGGGGCTAGGAATGTGTCCCAAGACCGCAAGCATGCTTCATCTAGCACCGCACGTCGCTGATATTCCTCGAGGTATGAGTGGCATGGTATGGGTAACTGAGGTGACATGAATGGTATACCTGAAGCCTAGTTCTGTTCTGTTCTCCGCTCTGACACATTCCTTCATTCAGGACATAAACATTGGCGCTCACAAGCCTGGTAGTAATGGGATCAACACAAATCAAGCTGGCATGGGAATACCTTTTCCGCACACGAAACAATATTATGCCCGCGACAACCCCAACCCAAAGCAAACACACGTTGAGACACAGCTCGGAAACCTTGTCTTCCCGCTACAAGATCATTTGTTCTCAGCTCTGAGCTTAGCCCTCTTGACTTGATGTCGGTATCACCATGAAGGCCAGACTGCCCCATGTCCTCTCCTCCCTCGTATCGATCCTGGCACTTTCCTGTCTCGCGACCAGCACAGAGCACACGACCGATGAATTCACTTTCAGTTGTGTCCCATTGACCACGCAACTCTCAGATCCGATAGTTTTCCCAGGTGGAATATCAGAACATGTCCATGTGGTTGCCGGAGGGACAGCATTCCAGAGGACAATGGGCGTCGACACCGCCCGCAACGCCAAAGAAACGACTTGCGGCGTAGCGATTGATAAGAGCAATTACTGGATCCCACAGTTGTACAATCAATTGCAGAATGGCTCGTTCCAGCTCGTGGAGTATCAGTCGAGTGTATGATGCCCCTTCGGTAGTGCGGTCTCCCTTGTGCCGCGGTGAACTGACTCGGTCAATCAGGCTATATATTATCTTAACCGAGCGTGTGAGTATGGAGTTGACGTAACGAGCTGCGATACGTCGGAGTATCCATTAGCACCACCAGAGGGGCTGAGGATGGTAGCTGGGGATCCTGATCTTCGGTTCGAACAGCAGCACGGCCTTGATTGAGACCTCGTGACTAACTGAGAAGGACAGATCATACAATGATTCTAATCTGGCCCAGAAAGCCATATCGCATATGTGCATAGAGTATGATGGTAGCTCCAACGAAACAAAGCATTTCCCACGACAACCTTGCCAAACTGTGCGGTCGCAGGTCTTTATGCCTTCCTGCTGGGATGGTAAAAACCTCGATAGTGCGGATCACAAAAGCCATGTATGGGAAAACCACATAACATTGTTCATAACACCCGGCTAATATACTGTACACTTCCAGATGGCATATCCAGCGGTCGGCGATTATAACAAAGGTGTCTGTCCTGAGTCTCACCCAGTGGCGATATACTCAATCTTTCTGGAATTTTTCTTCAACACGGCTCCAATAGGGAGTCGTCAAAGCCTAGTGTACTCCATGGGTGACGCAACTGGGTATGGCTTGCACGGTGACTTCATCCATGGCTGGACCGACCAAGCTGCCCTGCAACAAGCTATGGACACCTGTACGGGACCCAAAGGATTAGACGATCCTGATTGCTCGGTAACAAGAACCCAGAAGAGGGCCTTGACGCCCCTGTCGCAGCCTTTGGATGCTGTGGAGCCGAAGGATGAACTAGGACAGAGTGGACCTCTTGACAGCTTGCCCGGGGATAATCCTGTCATGTGGTCGGATGAGGCGAAGTGATACAACGAATAGTGCGAAAGGTTTGACCTCTCCCTCTTGACATTGATTGGAGATATTGGCGACCTGGAAAAGGAGGGACAAAGTGAATAGACGAATGAACAAAAATTCCAACAAGACAAAAACCACGCTATCATGATATGTAGATATCCCTCATGCTAGTGTGTATTGAAGTGAAGTATGGAAAAAGCAGTCCCTCACAGAAGGGTGCGACAGTTAAACTCAGTAGCGTAGGCTCGCGCATCGACAGAGGCAAAGTCGCGGCGAGGATTCTGATTGCTTATTTGATTAGTGCGCATCAGCTCACTCCGATTGAGGTAAGTGATGTAATGTGATGGCAAACGAACTTTGCCAACACTGAATCTCCAAAGCTCGAAAGATCGCCACACAATAATCAACTCAGATAGCCCATTCCCTTTCTCCACCACTTCCACACCCCCCGCTGCTCCATCAAGCCCCCAAATTCCTTGACTGAGTCAACTTCAGAGACGCCGGGCCTCTGATTAGGGTGGTTGGCCAGCTTTCCAGCACTGTTTGGTTCATACTCAACCTCCAACAGCCCCGGTCGAGTTACCAGCTGAAAATCCTTATACCTCAAATTCCGCACAACATTCACCCACGACTCGATGGCGTCTTTGTCTCTCGCTTCCACATACATAATCCCTGGACAACCTCCGGAACGTAGCAGCACGAAGCAATTGTGCATGTCGGCTGCCCTTTTCAGAGCGGAGACCTTCTTGCGCGAGGTGATATGATGGGTGCGGATCAGAGCATTGTAAAACATTTTACGTCTTCGGGAAAGTTGTCCAGCATGAGGTCCAGCATGAGTTGCATTAGTAGGTAGGGGGAGGCGAGGGGTCAACCTTAAAACAGGACTGGTACCCTGTAAATTGACCAAAGCCTGACAATTGTTTGCTTTTTGGCATTGAATGTGTTTGTTGAGGTCGGGAAAAGATGTTGCTGATTGGAAAAGAGGAAGCGGACCGCGGGCTGTTTGGTCGGTTTGCATGTGACGTCACGATGTGCTATTTATCCTCCTCCCAAGATGGAAGGAGTTGTGAGGCGCCCCGAGATGAGCACCGATGATAAAAGGCTCAATCTGCATGAAGTCGCGGTCCCCGTTGCACCATTCAAGATCCCCTACAGATCAACCTCCTACAGCTGAATCACAGCCATTCCCCCTTGACTATAATTGCTGGGGTAGTCTGCCTATTAGAGAGATCAAGGTTAGAGTCCTGACAGGCAGCTGTTGTCTCGGGACCATTCGAACTCGCCAAGAAGCCGCTTAGGCGCATATCCCCTCCACCAAAGAATGAAGTTGGGAGTCTCTGTTTTGAATTGAGAGGTGAGTATCTTCAGAGGACACTCGTATGGCGAAAAGCTGGTGTCCGCAACTTGAATTAACAAATCTACTCACCAGAGGCACGCGCCTGCTCGAGATGCTTGCATCTATGCGATGGACCTGGTAGATTCTGACTCTCTCCTTCAGCACGGTCAAATCTCATTAGCTAAGGTCTCGTCGAGTAACTTATGACCATGACTCAACTCGAAACGCTACCCACTGAGACTGTGTTGGACATCCTTTCTTGCCTCCGTGGTCCCCGTGAAGTGAGAACACTACTGAATCTCTGTTTAACATCGAGACGACTGCGGGATATTACACAACCTTTGCTTTTTAATGTGTTGTACAAGTATGTCTTCGATTATGACAAAGAGGTATATGTGAAACGAGCGAGCCGCATTGGCCCCCTTCTCGCCTTCGCTAGGACCCTCGCCTTGCGACCTGACCTTGGTGAACGAGTACTTCGTCTCTGCATCAATGCGAATCACAACCCTTCAGACTCGTCCGGTCAATGGCCAGCAGCAGCTAGGAACGAAACCATCGGAGTGCTGAACAGCGTCATCCACCAGATGCAGATTCCCTGCAAGCTCGACTATGTGACTGCCATCAACGGTGCAAGAATAAATCCGCTGATTGTGATCATCGTTGCTCTAGCCCCGAATCTTGAGAATATAGATATTGTGAGCGGCCGCGAAGGTCTAAGCTGCTTGAGACCACTTTACCTACCCGGGCCCGATGGTAGACCTCCATACCTGTCTAGGTTGAAGTCTCTTCACCTGAAGGATAAATACAAAATGCGACATCCGACTATGCCGGAAGTGGTCGACTTGATGTGCTTGCCTGGCTTGAAGGAATTCTCGTTAACATTCTGCGACGGCAATGGCTCTGGGTGTCCCAACTTTGAGCTTCCACCTGGTTCTTTCAATTTTTCCGAGCTACATCTCATCAGAGCTTCACTGGATGCAACACGACTGACAAATATCATGCGAGCGTGCGATCATCTCGAGGTCCTCATATACGAATCAACGGTACCCTGGGATGCCCGAAGGAGGCAGGTCTGTCAATTCCCAGCCCCGGCGCTACTTCCCTGTCTGGAGCCTCAACGGCAGAATCTCAAGTCGCTGCGCGTCGACCTGGATGTGGCCAACCCCATAGGTATCGAAAACTGGCATCGTTGCCCGCAGTACGGAAGTTTCCGGGCATTTGAGAACCTCAAGCACTTGGAGGTGGAGCAAGGCATACTACATGATTTTGGCAATTTGCCATCAAACATTGAGACTGTCACAGTTATCGCTTGCGACTATCCAGTCTATGAGATGATGGCCGGCTTAGCCGAATTTTGCAAATTCGACTTTGCATGTCTACGGCAAGTTTCTCTAAGGCCCAAATTTCCGCCTGCGAGCGGCTTGCTCGGTATCCCTGGCGCGTACTCCTTCAGCGATCTTGAGTATGATGATTGGTTTCGAGAGCAGTATAGAGTTGGGTGCGCGGCTTTGAGTTCCATTGTCGATGATGTCCCATTTGAACTCGAGGTCGAGTGCGATGGGTGGGAGATGTATAAAAACGGCGAATTGTGAACTACTCATGGATGGCGAATACCAGAGACGAGTGTCGAAAGGGATTCAATGGACCGATTATCTCTGTTTGGTATGATTGATACCATATTGGACAGTTATTTAGGAGTATCTATCCCACAATGTCTCAAAATAAGCTGTTCCGTTCAACGAGACTGCTTCAGAGCGTATTCTCCAGTAGGCGAAATGCACGGGTTCCATGTGGGAAGGCCATGTTGGACGGCTCTGGTAACAACCACAAACATCATACACAAGGTGGCTAGATACAAGACTCCATAGTGGGGATGCAATATCTTTATTGATCTAACACCGGTCCCCAAATATCGAGGAGCGTCCGCTGCGCGTGTAAGTCAACTGCAAAAATCTTATCCTGTGTGGCTTCCTGAGGTAGTAGGGTTCTAAACATCGGCCGCCAACTTCCACACACTGACCGGCAGCGGCACCGATCCGATAGCCTCGGGCAGTTTGCTATGATCGAGAAACCACGGACTGGTGATGTGGGCCCATCCCATGACGAAGGCCATATTCACCAGCCAGATCGCCAACCGGGAGAAGACACTCTGAGGGAGAAACAGCGGGAGAAAGCGATCGGAGAGGAGGTGTTGCGCGGCAATGCAGAGCGGCAAGATGCAGAAGAAGGTCATCATCATGCTGACTGCAAAGATGTCCTGGGACACCGCATACGTTCCGGCCACATGCACCACGCCGGACACAAAGAACGTGCATGAGATCACCAGGAAGCGCTGCAGGCCCACTGGGATCGGTTTGACCGGAACGATGGCCGCGCGGGAAAGCGCCAAAAAGGGGTTGCGGCACAGATCATGCCACATTTTGCCCCAGATGTCTTTATTGCAGACAACAAATCAATCTCTCGTCAGTCACATGTTCAATCCAAAGCGCGGGACAGTCGAAGCAGCAGCAGTGTAAGAGGAAAAAGAAGAAGAAGAAGAAGGAGAAGAAGAAGAGGTGGGAGCATACCACGTAAATTGAACGCGAGCAGATGCCGGACGGACCCAAAAACCGGGGGATACATCCAAGGCTCTCCCGCATGCTTGGAGGTGAAGAGCCTGACCAAGCCCACGGAAATGACACCCGCGGCAGAATGGATGCCATCGACGAAGGCATACGCGGCGATCCAGCAGCCGGGCGACAGCAGGTACCTCCGCACCACCATCTCGCTGGTCGTGGGGGAGACCTGCCAGCCCAGCACGCCGTTCAGGAAGCGGTCGACGCTGTTGCACAGCAGAGGGTAGTTGCGCGCGAACGCGGCCTGGTAGGTGTCCATGGTCAGGTACGCGAGGACGACGGTGCCGAGATGCGTGCGAAGGAAGCTGCTGCGGTCTCCGACGGCCACGACGACCATGTTTCGATGCTCCGGCGCACAGTGATCACCGCCGGCCTCGCCCTCGACTGGCCGCAGCGGCGGCAGATACTTGGTGGAGCCGTGATTCCAGCCGATGGCGCGCGGGTTGGCAATCAGATCGCAGACGCGCAGGAACCGTCGGAAGCCCAGGGCTCTCGGCAGCGGCTCCCAGGAGTACAGAATGGACGAGGACACATGCGAGACCTTTTCCAGATGCTGCAGGTCGTCGAGCTCCTGCAGGATCAGCAGCTCCACGGCGCGGATGATGAACGACACGCTCAGGAAGGCATTGGTGTATGTCACAAAGTCTCCTTGGCCTTTGAGGGGCACGAAGATTGCATGCAGCGCACTCAGAACCAGAGCCCCGTAGAGGGCAGCCTTTAACCCGGGCACCACCGGGAATTTGACCTGCAGGAACAGAGTAACAACCAGCAATGGTAGTGTGAACATCTCGACTGTACTGTACAAGGGTGGGATTGGGATCTCTTCCAGCAAAGCTATAGTCACAAGATAACTTAAGAAGGTACGTGTTGCGGAAGAGATAGTCTAGCTACCAAGAACATGAAGAAAAAGAAGAAACACAGTGTATAGGCTTGTTAGACGAGTGCACATCGCATCGCATCGCCGTGGCAGCGCAACGCAACGCAACCGCTGGCGTTAGTGAATATTTTATCAGTCTGGCCGCAATGCATGGTGAGTGCGGCTGAGGATCCGCGATGCTCCGCTTGGTTATTAATAATCGCACGCAGCCTTGTCTCGGACTTTAGACGCTGGTCGGATTCTACATTGACCCGACTGGCATCAGAACGGGGTCATGGTCATGGTCATGGTCATGGGGACGGCGGTTCTCGCTGGGACCCTTTCAAGTTCTTTCTACAAATTGGCTGTGAACGTTGGGGATCGGCTCCATGGTACCCATACATAAAAAGTTCACGGCTAGATGTGCCGATGTGGCGGTCGGTCGACCCCGGAAACCGGGTTATCGCATGCTTACGGATGATGCGGGCTGGTCTGTTTGACTCAGCTTGCTCTTCCTGCCATGGCCTTGTTCATTAAGGGTAGGGTGGCGGCTCTGGAAGTGCATTCTCTCGGAGTAAAAGTACTCAAATATAACCCGCTTAGCCTACATACAAATATACATAGGCATCCTGGTTCCACAAGCTAAGACGGCATCTGGTCCGACGTTTGACAGGAGATTTCAAAAAGGTGGATCTGATAAGCGCGCTTGCCGGGATAGGCCAAGCGGTGATTGATGTTAACTATGAGTAACTTACTACCTAGTTACTATACTGCCTGGCGCTTGAATCAATCATACACAAAGAGGTCGACATTTCGTCTGTAGATGAGAAGTGGCAACGAAGTGGCAACGAAATGTCAAAATTCCTACGAGATGATCTTTCCAACCCTTGCTACCTGAATGCAGTCAGCAATCATCTGAACCAGTAATGACGTCATGGGGCACCAGCATAGAAATGCTATAACGAAAGCCTGCGAGTCATGAGCCGTAGTCAGCAATACAAGGGCCTAACCTTCGTAGTCTGCTTACCATCTGTCATTCATTGATGTTGGGTATATGCTAGAACCTAAGCCGTTCTACAGCGATTCAGAAGAGCTTTTGGAAGTAAACTATGAGACCAAGACTGTGGCCAATAGAACCGCATCACTTCACGCCGCCTGTTGGTTGCATACGAGTGCAGTTCGTACACGCTATTTCTATTGTACAAGGCTATCAGTCGAAATGTCATGCAGGTGTATAGCCCATGCAGATCATAGGCTCAGCCTCAGCGCCTCGCGGGATGTCATCCCCATATATACCATCAGCTCAGCAACTAAAACCCCTTGATCCTGTGTTTCTTTCCCAATTATACAATCGACATAGCATCAAGACACACAAAAGATGTCCGACCACCCAGCCATTGCGTGAGCCGTGTCTCAAGACCTGTTGCAAATGCTGTTATCTCTATACCGTACTCACGACCCAGCAGAAGCCTCCTGATCACGCTCGGCCTCCGCGCGACTTCCACCTCACCCGCCCCCAACTACGCAGCAGGTTATATAATCGGCAACTGGTTCCTCGCCCACGGCATTCTCAACCCCCGAGCAGCCATACGACGACTCGGACAAGACCCCAACAATGCTCCCCGCGAGAACCTGCTCAAATACGGCGAAGCAGCTGTGCAAGCCGGAAAGGTCACCCGAGGCCAACTGAACCGACTCAGACGGCGGGAGGCTGCCTATGAGAGTGTCATCGAGGGATTTCCGCTGTTTATCGCGGGGGGTACGCGTTCATCTCTACCAAAACATCCTGGAACCAAAGCGAGAAATGCTAACTTCTGGAATCCCGGATTGGACTGAACAGTCTTTCTCGCCCTTCATGCAGGTGTCCCGACCGAGATCATCAACTGGATTGGGCTGTGGTTTTCGCTGATGCGGGTGGCATATGCAATCGCGGCCGTGGCGATTGAATCGGACCAACTGAGCTTTGTGCCGTCGCTGCTGTGGTGGTTGGGCAATGTGGGTTGCCTGACAGCGTTGATGTTGGCCGGGAAGAGGCTGTGATATTTCTTCCCTCTCCTTGAGCAGAACAAGCTCTTTTGGGAAAGCTTTGCGGGTGGATGGTTTCAAATTTGGCCGTGTCGACTATCTGGATACTATTGCAGACGGAAAATACTCGTGATCCGGGTTCATGTTTCCGATGAAAGTGGGGGAGGTTGGGGACGCCAGATCTGCGGGGTTGCCGAGGTTGAGGGGTCGGGGAAATGAGGGCCGCGACGATCTTTCAGGGGGGACAGTTTTGATGGTTTCGGTAGAGGTAGTCGAGTCTTGCGTGTCTGCTGTCCGATTTCTGGTACCGACCATCTCTCAGTTCATAATCAGTCACTACGCTAGTGTATGGTGTTTTGTGCTCCGAAATCCATCTATAGCACTTCGCGGAAAATCGCAAGAGAGCGACATCGGGGACTAACCCCAGATATAACTCCTCCTTGTATAAACCATTTACCACATTGCTTTTGCGGGGAAAGGAATGGACTCGTTGGCATTGAGTTAATATACTTCTGCCCCAGTGCCCACCTTGGCTTCAATATCCTCCTTGTAATTGACCAGCCTCTCACCGCAGTATCAACCCGTGCGGACGAGTCTAGCTCAACGAGCCGAGTCTGCATATTAACCTGGACCGTTTCCATTAGAATGACACAAACTCACATCCCGACCTGCAGGCTCAGTCAACAAACGTTCCATCCATTGGTGGAAGATCCCCCAAGACCGAGCAACGATCCGGGGAAATTACCCCAGAGCCAGCCCATGCCCAAATCTTGGTACAGAGCTGTCAAAAAAGAGCCAAGATGCCTAGCCATGACATCAGTCATCTCTCCTCTTCAGGGCGAATCCTACAGGTGGAGAAATCGAGCCCTGCCCCCGGAAAGATTTCCCCAGAATTCTTACCCCAGCGGAGGGGAATCTGGGGGTGATGCAAGCGGGTAAACATAGACCCTAATGTCAAGGACAGGCATAAATAACCAGCCGGGGACGGTCGCTTGAGTTATGTTTGGATAGTACAAGCTCAATCGCAAGTGACAAGTCAACCATGAAGCTCGTTTCAATTGTTGCGCTTTTCCTGAGCGCTCTGCCTGTTGCCGTGAATGCGGCTGCCGTGGGCGGAACCCCCAATGGAGCCAAGATCATTCCAGTCTCTGATGCAGCTGGCTTGAGAAGTGTGGGGGCGCATTCTTCCAAATACCCGAACCGCAAGACTGTGACAATCCGTCCATCCAAGAACGATTACGACGATATCTCGAGTGATTTCCTCTGGGGAATCAAGCAGGCCAACCACGGCGGACGGCTACTGCTCGAGAAAGGCAAGAAGTATGTGATTGGAAAGAAGTTGGATCTGACATTCTTGGACAATATCGAAGTGCAGCTGGAGGGTGAACTCAAGGTATGTTGTCAAATGCCCAGGAGAAACTTTGAGGCAAAATAACTGACCCAGATGGTTGTAGTTCACGAATAACATCACCTACTGGCAAGCCAACAACTACTACTATGACTTCCAAAAGTCAATCACATTCTGGCGCTGGGGTGGAAACGATATCAAGATCTTCGGCAGTGGTACGTTGAACGGCAACGGACAGGCTTGGTACAATGCGTTCGCTGGCCTTGAGATCTTGGTATGTTGTTTTTTGTCTCTCGCAAATGGTCAGGGCTGACAAGGCAGGACTCCTCCAACACCTTCTACCGGCCGATTCTGTTCCTGACCGACAATGCGACACGTGTATCTGTGGAGGGTATCACACAGCTAAACTCGCCGTGCTGGACCAACTTTTTTGTCAACACCAAGGACATCTCCTTTGACGATGTGTATATCCATGCTTATTCGACCAACGCTTCGGTATGTCAAAGCGCGTCAAGCTCCGAAGCCTGACTAACAGCGTAGGCTCTTCCGAAAAACACCGACGGATTTGATTCGTACAACGTCGATGGCCTGACGGTCACAAACACCCGCGTCGATATCGGCGATGATTGCTTCTCGCCCAAGCCCAACACCACCAACATCTTTGTCCAGAATCTGTGGTGCAACAATACGCATGGTGTGAGTATGGGCAGTATTGGACAATATCCAGGAGAACTGGACATCATTGAAAACGCCTGGATTGAGAACGTGACGCTGCTGAACGGCCAGGTAGGTGCAACTCGGCATTATCCTGTTGATCGAGGCTAACAAAAAACCACAGAACGGTGCCCGACTCAAGGCCTGGGCTGGACCGGATGTGGGATACGGTCGCATCAACAACATTACCTACAAGAACATCCAGATTCAGAACACTGACAACCCAGTAGTGTTGGACCAGTGCTACTTCGACATCAATGCCACGGAGTGCGCCCAGTACCCGTCTGCTGTCAACATCACGAACATCCTTTTTGAGAACATCTGGGGTACCTCCTCGGGTAAAGAAGGTCTAGTGGTTGCCGATCTAACGTGCTCGCCTTCTGCTGTCTGCACGAATGTCACCCTGCAGGATGTCTCGCTGACGAGTCCGGCGGGCAGCCCGGCGGAGATTATCTGCTCGGGCATTACGGGGGGCATTGGGGTGGATTGTGTGGATGAAACCAACTCAACCTCGACCAAGCGATAGTATAATTGCTAGTGTGACCTATCAAGCACAACTGATTTCATTCCTGGCATGTCGAGTACCTTGTAGGTATACGCAACGGGACCTTGCAAGCAAGGACCTTGGGAGCGACCATCACCAATCAGAACAATGATGATAAATTGCGATCATGAGAGCACCTTGGTAGCTTGCACCTATAAGTATAGAAGTGTACAATAGACATATTGGATCGAGTTCTGGTGCGACGTGCCAGTTCTTTCTCTAGTAACGAGCCTTTGCGCAGCCGAAAGAAAATGGTCATCGACTCCGGACGGGAGACTCTCTCCTACAAGGCGGGTGAGATCATGGCTGATGCCTCATCTAAACCAGATACCAAGAATACCAACATCACACTAGAAAAGAAGGGCAGGAAGCCACTTCCTGTGACTCTCCTCTCTGGGTTCCTGGTCCGTCGTTCGGCATTCAGCATAAGATTCCTATCGAGCTCTAGATACTAACTCCACGGGCAGGGCAGTGGAAAGACCACTCTTCTCGAGCATGTCCTCCAGTCGCCTGACCATGGCCTTCGCATTGCCGTCATCGTCAATGACATGAGCAGGCAAGTCTCCCCTTGACGCGCTCATTTCAGGGCTCTGTTAACGAGAGACCCAGCCTCAACATCGACGCTACCCTCATCAAACACCACACCGTCTCCCACACCAAAGAGTCCCTAATCCAGCTCCAGAATGGCTGCATCTGCTGCACACTCCGGGGCGATCTTCTCTCCGAGCTCGCTCGTCTGACCACCCAGAAAGAAGTTGAGTACGTCGTGATCGAAAGCACGGGCATTAGCGAACCCATGCAAGTTGCCGAGACATTCACAGCGGAGTTCAGCGCCGCGATGGTTCAAGCCGAAGCCGAAGGAGGTATATTAGACGAAGAAGGCAAGAAGATTTTGGATCAGATGTACGGCCACCCAGCCCTGTTACCCTCATCATCTACCTCTTTATGCCCCCCGTCCCCCAAGCACACATCACTAACACCCGCCAAAAGCAACACCCTCGGCGGTCTCCACCAACTCTCCACGCTCGACACGACAGTAACAGTCATTGACGCCTTCAACCTCCTCTCGAACCTCGACACGACCGACTTCCTGTCCGACCGCTACGGCGCGGACACGATCATCCCCGAGGACGAACGCACCATCTCCGACCTGATGGTCGACCAGATCGAGTTCGCGGACGTCATCCTCATCAACAAAATGGACATGCTGGCGGCGCGGCCGCACGACCGCGACCGGATCCTGCGGCTCGTAACGACGCTGAACCCCGCGGCGAAGGTCCTGCAGACGAGCTATTCCCGCGTCGACGTCAAGGAGATCCTGGGCACGGGCCGGTTCGACTTCCTCAAGGCCGCGTCCGGGGCCGGGTGGTTGCGCAGTCTGCACGAGATGAGCAAGCTGAAGATGGCGAATGGGGAGGAGAGGTGGGCGCCTACGCCAGAGACTTTAGAGTAGGTTTGATCGTCCCCTGGCACCTCACAGTTCTACGCTTTGTTCCTTCCCAGTATTATTCGGAGAAGAGATCCCCGGATGAAATGCTGATCAATTTTGCTCCCCCGTGGGAAACAGGTATGGAATCAACAACTTCGTCTACGCTGCGCGACGGCCTTTCCATCCTCGCAGATTATACAATCTGCTTCATGACAAGTTCATTATCCTACAGAATGCAGCTGATGATGCTGGTGCCGATGATGATGAAGAGGAGGAGGAGGACCAGGAGGAAGCCGCTGCCGCCGAGTCCGACACGGAAATGCAATCCGATTCGGGAGAGGAGGAGGAGGACGACGACGACGACGACGAAGAAGAAGACCCAGCCCAGCCCAGCCCCCAAGAGATTCTGGCCAACAAACGTGCACACCCACTCCTCCAGCCCCTCCTCCGTTCCAAGGGCTTCTTCTGGCTCGCCACTCGACCCTACCAGTTCGGCGAATGGAGCCAGGCCGGCGCCATGCTGACTTTGAACTGCGGGGGGCCGTGGTTCGCCGAGGTCCCGGACGAGGCGTGGCCCGAGGACGGGGACGTGCGCAAGTCCATCGAGGAGGATTTCCAGGGCGAGTGGGGCGATCGGCGGCAGGAGATCGTGTTCATCGGGGAAGGGGTAGATGTGGACGGGGTGACGGGCCTGCTAGATGAGTGTCTGTTGAACGCTAAAGAGATGAAGCGGTGGGAGAAGGTGATGAAAGATCGCAAGATGGAGAGGGGGGAGAAGCAGGAAGTGATGGCGGGGATCTGGGAGGATGGGTGGGAAGAATGGCCTGCTGTTGATGAGGAGGATGAACACGATGTACACGATGGAAATGACGATGTCGAGGAAAAGACCGAGGAGGGGAAGAAGAAAAGGAAGATCAGCGAGTTAATGCACGGGGGTCATGCTGCGCACCACGCGCACTCGCATAAACATAAGTAATTTGTTTACTAGGGGAGAGGACAATACAAGCATGAATTACATCGCCGGTCCCGTGAAGAAAAATGTCGTACAAGCCTTGGTGGACCTATTGTTGTAATCACTATTATATAAAAGTTGTGTTAAAGTCTACAGAAAGAAGGCCTGACAATGTGTGTATATTGATGTCTTAGTTAATTGTTCAATTGTATAGATAATTAGCTTATGGTAGAAACCTTTCTTGCAGTGATTATCTAATGCATACTCTATTGTAGGTCCTTCACTTTTGTAGCAAGTATGGGTGGTGCTTTTTGCGGTGGGTGAAGGTTTCGTACTGTACATGGAGAGGAGGCACAAGATGTATACTCCACACAATCGTAGTGCAATGACATTCCGGCCTTTGCTTATCTCAATCTATATTATTATATGCAAAGTTTACTACCCTAGCATTCAATCAGCTCGCATGGCTTAGATGGTAAAGCGCAGCACTAGTAATGCTGAGATCCTCGGTTCGAGTCCGAGTGTGAGCAATTCTTCTTTTTGTGCCCCTCTCTTTTTTGTTTCCAATTGACATTCAAACTCCTCATATACTCGTCCAACAAGACAACAGTATCCCATCTCCCAATGCCTCGGCGTACGGTATCGCGTATCAAAGGTGGTCATGAGATTCCATGACCAGTATGTGATGCTTCCATCCGACCCCGCATCATCACTACGACAGGTTTCCCCGTGATCCGAGATCCCGCAATGACCGAGAAATATAATCAATGCAATATGTTATCTAAAAATGATACTATCAAATGAGTGACAACACCCTTGCTACAGCCACATTACCGTACAGTTACAGCACCTCGCCCAACCACCCCTTCACCCTCCTCCCCTGGAGTGTCTCCCCCCACTCGCCCAGCGCCAGATTATAGATCGGCGCCACATGACCTTCACCCTCGCCCACGCACAACTCCACCTTATCCGGCCCAAGCCCTTCTTGCAATCTCTTGGTGAATGCAGCAATGAAAGGCAGTATGATCTCCCTGCCCCCAGCACAGACCAATACCTTCGCCACAGGGAAAGACGCCAGCCAGTCGGTTGGCGCCGTCGAGAGATCGGTGTAGTAGTCATGTTTGCCCGTACCTATGTACGCCCTAGCCCACGGCCCTCCTACGGCGGGGGTGATGATGTCTCCCCGGGAGTCGATCTGTGACTCGTCCAATTCAATCGAGGCAGCGATATCTTCGGGTAGGATGGTCTGATCCAGACTCGTCCAGGGCGCGATCATGATGGCGCCGCGGATTTGGCGGTCGGGCCCGTCGGACAAAGCGAGAGGCGGAAGATCTGGATGGGGATGGGCTATGTGCGCGAGGACCGCCCCGACGAGATTCCCGCCGGCGGAATCACCACCGAGGAGGACCTGCGACGGGGAACGGTGGGTTTCTTGGAGGATGTATCGCAGTGCTGCAAGGGCTTGACGGATCTGGGTGGGATAGGCCGCTTGAGGAGCGAGGGTATAGGTGAGGGTAAAGATCGCAAGTGATTTGGGTTTCGGACTAGATTGGGTATCCGCGAGCAGTTGAGTGAAGAAATGAAAGTAGCCGTCGTTGGCAGGAAGTGCGAAACCACCCCCTAAAATGCAATCAGGTCCTGGTTTGACTTAGTGGGACAAGGAACACCCACCGTGATACCAGATCAAGACATGCTCAGCATGCTCATAGTCCCCCAGCCAGTGGCCTAGGGCACCTTCGCCAAGGTCAACAGTCTTCGAGGACAGACGATGGCGGCGCATGAAGCGCTTATAAATGGTATCTGTGGTAGGAAGCAGATATCTAAGCCGCTCGCTGTCAGCCAGGCTAGTTCCCCCATGCACATAAGGAATGCAGAAGCATACTGCAGCTGGGCCACTGAGAAGCGTGATGTCGCTTTGCGCATGGCTGCATAACCCACGTGTAACAGCAGAGTTGACGGATAATGATGGGTTCGCCAGGGACTGGTCAACAAAGCCCAGAGGACAGTACCAATAAGCGCCGCAAGGGCAGGCAAGCAGTCGAGTTTCTCGAACAAAGAGAGCGCTATCATTGTGGCTAGGTCACACCAATGTAGCATGTGCAGGACAATGTGTGCAACATGAGGATTAAATGTGATAGGAGAAAGATTATCAAGAAATGCCCGAGTTGCAGGCAAGAGGGACCGAAATGGAGTAGACATGTGAGTGGGATCGCAACTGTTGCCATTTTGGGCAAGGATGAACCAACCGCCCTGAAGTTGAGATTTCGGCGTTAAGCCAAAAACCCAAAATTGGCCGCATTTTGGCTTCAACCTCGGACAAACACCAGAAACACCTCCTTTGACCGAGGCCATGTGAGTCGATTCGGAATCGATATAATTCTGTCTAGTCAACCGCCTCAATGTCGTTCCTTCTTTTCGCATACCACCTTCCCATCCCACTACATCACCATGGAAGAACAGTTTGATGTCCTCATCATCGGTGCAGGCATATCAGGCATCAACGCCGCCTATCGCCTGCAGTCGCAATTTCCTCACTATCGCTATGCCATTCTCGAGGCACGCGATCAGCTCGGAGGCACCTGGGATCTCTTCAAGTATCCTGGTATCCGCTCCGACTCGGATCTCTTTACCTTTGGCTTTGCCTGGTACCCTTGGGACCAGGACAACCCGATCGCTGAGGGCTCTTCCATCATCGAGTACCTTCACCGGGCCACCGCCAGCAAAGGTATCGACCAGCGCATCCGATATCAGCATCGTCTGCTGGGCGCCGACTGGTCCTCTTCAGAGAAACGCTGGTCGTTGGCTGTCGAGCATGCAGGTCGCTCCCAGTCGATGTCGGCGCGGTTCATCATCTTCGGCACTGGCTACTACGATTACCAGCATCCTCTGCAGGCGGACATTCCCAACTTGACCCAATTCGATGGCCAGATAATTCACCCGCAATTCTGGCCCGAGGACCTGGACTACAGCGACAAGCGCGTGGTCATCATTGGCAGCGGCGCAACGGCCATCACGTTGCTTCCCAAGATGGCTGAAAAGGCGGCGCGAGTGACCATGCTGCAACGTAGTCCAACTTACATTATGTCCTTACCCAATCGTCAACGCTCACCACTGAGGTACATCCTGCCGACAGCCTGGTTTCGCCAGCTGCAGCGCATCCTCTGGCTGTTCACCGCGCGGTTCTTTTTCCTTTTCTGCCAGGCTTGTCCAACAGTGGCGCGTGCCATCCTGCGTTTGCAAGTCAGTCAACAGCTACCAAAGGCGGTGTCTCTGGCACCGCATTTTGTACCGCGTTATAATCCCTGGGACCAAAGGTTGTGCGTCTGCCCTGACGGGGACTTCTTCAAAGCGTTGCATCACGGTGTGGCCGACGTTCGGACCGACACCATCAAGACCGTTACCGCAACGGGAATTCATCTCGACTCGGGAAACACCCTTGATGCTGACATTATTGTCACTGCGACGGGACTGCGTCTGCAGGTAGCGGGCGGAGCCTCCCTCACAGTAGATGGTGTTCCACAGCACTTGTCGCAGAAGTTCCTCTGGCGTGGTATTATGATGCAGGATATCCCCAATGCTGCTTTCGTTTTAGGCTATACCAACGCTTCATGGACACTCGGCGCTGATGCGACTGCCCGGTTCCTGTGCCGCTTCCTGCGCGAACTGGACACCCGTGGACAGGCTGCCGCTGTGCCGCGGTTGCGCCCTGACGAAGCCCAGAATTTGCAGCAAAAGCCGCTGATGAACCTTAATTCGACGTATGTGGTGCGTGCGGCGGAGAATCTGCCTAAGACTGCAGATCAGGGGCCGTGGGTGCCGCGGGACAATTATTTGCAGGACCTGTGGTTCGCCAAGTTTGGGAGTCTGGAGGGACTGGAATTCATCGGAGAGGCTAAGAAGGCGCAATGAAGCGGGGTTAGCTTGGTTGCTGTATGTTAATGTTCAGTCTTTGTTTTGATGGCCGTTGTATCATAGATGATAATTTCAAATATGTTTTGCTGCAACATGCGACCAGTGCAGGTTCCGAAGCGACGGTCGCGTAGAGGAGCTGACCTCGTGAAAGGGGAATGCTCCGCCAAACAATTTGAAATGACAGAGACGACGGGCGGCTTTAGAAGCCTCCTAGGCACGAAGTTTTGTGATGTATAGCCACACTTCAGGGTCGCTAATTGAGCTGATTGCCAGGAGAGGATGATTCTCTCCCAAACCAAACCACCAATCTCCCGTTTATGATGTCATCTCTGAATTTTCTCCGAGTGTGCAAAGATTGTTTGCAGATGTGGTCACAGCTAAATATCTTTTTCCAGAAACACGCTGAACTAACTACCCATTAACTCCCGTCAGTCTCAAAAGAGATGGACCACCCACCAAGTAAACCTTCAGAACGTTCGGCGCCAAGGTATTACTTTGTGGTCTGGAAAGTGGCCGTAGATAAAGAAAGTGGGTGCGGGAATCTGAACGGCGCCGACCGCGGACCAGATTCGCAGGCGCCCGGGTGCGCGCGTCGCGGCGATGTTATCGGCAACATGACGAAGAGGCAACTCCATACGATAATCTCTAGCGAGTATCGATCCCAAGTAGCGCTATTTCTGTTGGATCAAAGTGGATGACTTCCTCGTTCATTGTAAATACTGACAAAAGGGATACATGTATCGGTCAAGAGCACCCCTTCTTGGGATAAGTTATTCAGCGCGACTATCTCTGGCGGATCCCTCGCAAAGCCGTTCAGACCCAGGATAATAGTATCGTTGTCTAGACCGGTTCGTGTGTAGTGCGTGCTCTTCGCGATTTCGCATAGCGTGTACAGTCGCAAACCGGAGAACAGCTGCCGTGATTGGCGCGGATAGGATCGGGTCGGACTTGCGACATTGGATGGCAGCTAAATTGAATCTGTCAGCCACAACAGGACGCGGCGTACCGGGCCATTACGCCGTGCGACAGAGAACAAGCGAGCGCTGGCGGCGCACGTCGGAATTTGTCAGGTCCGGCCCTTTGTACCGGCGACAATATCACGCCCATCGATCGAACAGGGTACTTCGCACCAGCGAGTCATAAAGAAAAGATATTGGATAGAGATATAGACGAAGATGACAATTGAGGAAGTAGGAAGTAGTTCGATGCGCACTGGACGAGCATGCGCGCAACTCCTGAGTTTGATTCTGAGCTATTTTCTCGAAGATCATCCTGGAATGAGTACTATGCGACCATGATCAGTTACCGTACTGGATTCGAGGAGGACCAACCCATGTTATCGTTGGCGCACGCGGCAGACAACGATGGGGTGTCACGGCTAGATAGTCGCATCGCACATCCAAGCAATGGCAGTTATCAATAGCGCGTTGGTCGTCGCATAGTCCAGACTTAGCGAGCCCGATGCTGCTGTGAAGGGGTCTGGCCATGAACCCCGATCCCGCGTCGATCATGATTGGCGAAGGCTCTTCTTGTGTTTCCACTCAGCTCTCTTGTTCCGGCCCTTAGCCCCTCTTTTGCCTTCTTTTGCCTTTCAAAATATGTTGCAGCTCAGGTGTTGCGCTCGTATCGCTGCGAATATTCTGGCCGACACGATGGACTGTTTCAGGCACGGATCTTTCCATGAGATCTTATGACACGCCCACATTGATTAGTATTGACTGATTCCTTTCCTGCGTTAGACTCAGCGATGGCTGGCTGGGAAGAAGGTAGTGTTGGTGTTGGCGTCTCGAAACGGTAATGGTGGTGTTCGTGGTCTCGTGTAAAAATAGGCAGGGACTGAAGGCGGCCCCGGGCTGGTGGAAGGGAGTGTCAGAGTTGAGTCCATTTCGGCCCCCCCTCCAGAGACCTCTCTCACGACTACAAACTCTCCAACACTTCGTACGGCTTTGCTCATTCCATATATGCCACCCTGGGGAAACCAACACCTGCTAAATCTCGCTTGTAATATCCCAATTATCTTCACATCTCGCCGTGGAGAAACTTACTCTTTCCCTCAATAAATGCAGTATGAAGTTACCAGATTCAGCGCATCCCGGAGAGCTGAGGGTCGCGGTGCTCGTCTATCCTAGACCGTCTAGGATGAATCCCGGACATGCATTAGCATTCAGCCAGCCAGCCAGCCAGCCAGTATTCTCTTTTTTGAGTCGTCTCTATTCCCCTGGGTCCGTCTCACAAGCCCAACGGCCTCCCCGAAATGCGACTCAAGCCACAAGTCTTTTCCTAATTATGCCTACTACTGTAGGATAAGACGACTTGACCGATGCTGTCTTCGGAGTTCTCGTTCAAGAGGCAGCTAGTCAACAATTGATCAATCTGTGAAGTTGATCCGAACTTTCTGAAAAGACCATCCGTTTATACACTTGCTCTGTGCGCAGCGCATCCTGAAGGCCATAAAGCTATTATTAACTGCGATGAATTATGATTTCTAGACGAAATCATGAGGCAGACTAGCGACTAATTCCCCCGCGTCGATCACAATCTTCTCACACAACAAACACACTTTAAACCGCACTGGCAATCTATCCTAGGCTGACAGCTTCAAGGGAACGACGAACTCATCGGAGGAACCGCCGCCGCAGCTGTCTCGAAGATCTTTAATCTACATCCGTCGGGGCACCCGCTAAGAGCATTGTTTCTTGGCGCAGCCGTGCACAGTACTCCGTACTTGAGAGGTTCTCACTGACGGAACTAGCGCCATTTACGGAGGTACTTCTGCCCCTCCCCCCATGTCGTGCTACTGCTTTGGTTCAACAATGGGTACAGCCGCTAATGGTACCGCCTGCATGGCTAGCGTGGACAGGAGGTGCTACCGCATATTTGGAAAAGACGGAGCACTCTGAGTGAGTACCACCAGGCGGACATATCCGTGGATGATCAGATTCCAGAGGGCCATGGAAGAGCACGCGAAATGTGCGTTCAGGCTACCGAGAACACAGACCAGACAAACCCCATTCGGCCTGCAGAATCATATCAGTGCTTATAGCATAGAGGTAACACCCGGGCGACTTGGGTACCTGCAACTGTGACTGATAAGTCTATCTCTTACGGCTGCACGCCTAGTCAGCTGTCTTTCAAGAAGTACTCTGCACGGAGGGTGG